ACAGAAAAAAGTCCAGCCGACGTCGATTAGGATGCCGCTCCCCACCACCATGCACTTCATCGACCTACTCAGTTCCCGCCACTCCCGCTATCTAACGCGCCGTTCACGTACAAGGATTTGCATGATCACACTTCAGCAACGCTCCCCCTGCCCTAACACCCCGCCCTGCCTGGATTCCTTCTGTTTTTTTCCGGTACTCTTCTTCCATCTGTTGCCGGACCGAATCCAGGTCCCACAGCAGATTCTCCCTGGCTTTCTCCTTCAGAGTCATTGAGGAACAGCTCTGATTTTTGTTGGGTTCCCAGTCTCCTTCCCTGTGGCCTTCTTCTGCCACCTGCTGTCTCCAGGTGGGAAGATGTCCGGCTTTTTGGTTGCAGGTTCTTTGTCCGTGAAGTGCCAGACCCACTCCGGATCATCGAGGTTATCATCTACGTTTGTTCTCAGATGCTATCATGGGGTTGTGGGATTTTTAGACCTACTCAACTGTCTGCTGCAGCATTTTGTCATACTCGATCCCAAACTCGATGCTTTCTTGTGCTGCAGACAGATCAGTATCAGGGAGGAGAAAGTCTAACGGGGTCTTAGGCTTCCATCCTAGGCGCACACAGCTCATTAGGTGTCTGGCCAGTAGTACTATGAACTGTGTTGTTGTACGGGCTGGCGATGAGAGATTTTATGATCTCAGTCCTCTCTCTTGGCTGGGCTTGATATAATGTCACAGCAGGTGCTGTACTACCCGGTCCATCTACTCAGCCTGCCCGTTAGTCTCTGGGTGGTTTGGAGATGTCATTTGTAGCTTGGAACTCTCTGCTCTGCAGTCTTTGTCCACAACTCACTGGTATATCTGACGTCTTTGTCGCTAGCTATGGATTTCGGTTACCCAAAAAAATCCCCTTGCCCAGTTATCCATAAACATCTTGATCACTAAGTTTGTCTTCACGGTCTTGGGCAGCAGAACAAGTCTACCGTATTTAGAGAATCTTTCTATGATTACAAAGGTATGTCTTTTGCCTGACTTGCTGGTGACGAGAGTGTCCATGAAGTCAATAGATGTCCAGGTCCTGCTGCATCAGTAGCTGGACCGCAATCACACAAGATCCTACAAGCTGTCTTGCTGTAAAAAGTCTGCGTTACCAACCAGGCCGCCTGGGTCACCTTGGTTGCCCAGGCGGTCCTGCCTGACAAGGCCCTGGGAAGGTCCCTCTGGAAAAAAAAAAAAAAAAAACGAAAAAAAAAAGGGAAAATTTTCAAAATGCCCCTCCGAAATCCATTTATTTGCGGCATGCCCCTCCGACGGCTGACTTTACCCTGTCGTGCCCCGAGGGCCTCTGAAGTTTCCCGTAGGCCCCCGTCAGCGAGCTGCGCAACTTTCGGGAATGCCCTTACCGGATAGCTGGTCCCATTTCGGTGTTGGCTGTCTGCTCTGCCCTCCTGCCAGGGATGCATCTTTGTGAGATGCCCTTCAGCATGGAGGAGCAACCAGTTCCAATTCAAACATGCGTGTTTGGCGCCGCCGCAAAAAAAAATGCTGCAATCCACGCGACCCTCCCTGCTGCAATCCACCTTGTTGGAGATAGTTTGTCGCGTGCGGCCTCCGACCTTCACTCCCATCTTCCATGCCCCTCTGCCTGTCGTCCTCCTGTC